TCCCTTATATACACTTACTTTTATATATGACATGAATAACCAATTGGAAGCTCAGAATGTCCTCCTAGTGGTTTTCTCAACCTTTCGAACATTTACTTCTGCCATTACTTTTTTTTGAATCAAGATTTCAATGAGATAGGTTGTGTCTTTAGTCTGCTCGAGATTTCATATTTTTTAGACCCAAATACAGTTAATTACTAAGTTTCAATAAATTATAGTAGAATTCTGTAGCATTAATGTAGTAATTTTTTTATTTTTTAGTTATTAAAAAGTATATATAAAGCCTAAAAAAAAAATTTTATTTCATATCCTCCACGTGCAAAATGTTTAAAGGCTTAGCAACCTATGTGAAGCAGCAAGCGAGTACAAAGATCACAACTAGAAGAGATAATTGTTTGCTTTACCTCTTTATTTACTGTTCTATGTTTTAGGACAAATAATCTATGTACATATTTAATGTATAATAATTGAAATGTGACTGCATTTTACAAAATACTAGTGGACTAAAACACAGCCAAGACAAGTTACTTTGTACAGACCAAAGGTCACCTTTATGTTATTTGATATGGTAACATGAGTGTACGTGAGCCAGTATCGTTATAATTTCTGTACTGTTAGCCAGGCACGGGTGAAAGGTAAATAAAATAAAAATAATAAATATATTTATTAATGTATAATGTTGTGAGATTTAAGCTGTTTCGTCTAAACATTTATGTTTTTGTGTTATAATTTGTGTTCATTCTAGAATGAAAGAGGCATATTATATATTTATTTCCTAATTTTTTTATGGTGGTTTTGAGATCGATCAAATCTACCGAACCCGTAGGGAGATTGATTACTGAAAGTAGAAGGATAAAATATAAAGTTTTTCTTAAGAAACATTTAATAACTATCTGCACATTATAAAGATTTCGCATGTGAAATCAGAAAATTTTCCGATGCATAAAAGTATTTTTCATCTTAAATGAATATTACTTTGCATGATAGATAGGCAGCTTGCAAAAAGAAGAAAAAAAAAGACATGAGAAAAACATTGCTTTATAAACCTTAAGACTTAATAAAAAAATAACATATATTGTATATGAAAGCATTGTAATGTTTATTGATAATCTGCCAAATTTCGTTAACATTTGCTTACTAATTTAAAAGGTATAGCATGAAAACTATAGCAAGCACAAAATAGTTATGAGGTCGGTCCCAGGAACTGATCCCATGCTGAAAAGAGTTAAGTAAATTGAATTTTGGATGGACGGGGCACAATCCAAAATATTTGAGAAATGCTAGTATAGGATACCCCATTACAGTATCTCCCAAGTAGTTCCCAGATGATATGTTAAGTCAGATGGAACTTAGATATCCTCAGGATGCAAGTGAGGGCTCCTTTTCCCTTGACCCATCGTTATAGTATAAGTCTCATTTGACTAAAATGGTACAGCCTAAAGCCTTAGCTACACTACACATTCTAAGGTTCCACCCATCTTGGCAATGCGTAACCATCAGCAGTGGATTTTCCTGATATCCTTTGCTGTGCTATCTCATCACAAAAAAAAATCAACTTCTGGGAGAAGAGTATTCTCTGCTTGAAGAGGGTGCAGTCTTCCACCAGATGCTGCTCCATTAGGTGACCCATAGTTTCATGGAAGCCATATCCCATGGGCTTTCCCTTTCTGTTGTTATTTCAGAAAGGAGCTCATTTTTGTAATTGATTAGCACTGGCTCCTCCACCATCTTCAGTGTAGGATTCTAGCTCTTAGTAATGCTGGGAGGTAAGCAACATTTCTGAAGTTAACATTTTCCTTACCTGAAAATGTATTTCAGACAAATATTTAACTGTTTTCACCACCTCCCACTCTCCCTCCCCACTTCTAGTGCATTTCATTTGCATTGTCAAGAATGAGCCTGTGATCATGTTCTAGTGTTCATAGGGATTACTACAAGTGGAGTTTGTGTTGCCCTCCTATTCATAAGCTAGTAAAATACATGTTGACATGTGTAGGGGTGGAAGCTTGCTTGTGGCATCTGCAAGAAATTCCATGGCAATTGTACACACGGTAATAGCTCTTAGTGGTGCAGAGAGTTATATCTGAAATACATTTTCAGGTAAGGAAAAATGTTAACATTTACCCATAAACTGAGGTTTACATCTGTATAGTGAATGATTGGAGTTGATTTTACTCATAAACCAAGGCTTTTAGCTTATAGTAGATGGTTGGATGGGATTTTATCCATAAATTGATGCTGTAGCTGTACAGTGGAGATGGTTTTACTGCTAATGTATTCAGGATTTTACTTGTACCTATAAATTTTTGACTAGTTAAAAGTTGATAATTAATACTATCATGTTTCAGGTGTTCTGGACTAGTCTAAGGTTGTGTATTATTATTATTATTGTTGTTGATATGTTCTGAAAGTATCAGATTTGGGTAGTTATTCTGAGTAATTCTAAGGTTTCTAATTGCTATTTTGAGGTAGCTATTTTTGGTTAGTTTGAAGTTGCTAGTTCTCAAAGTATCGAAGTTTGAAGCTTCTTTTGTGGGTGTGGTATAAAGTCAAATAGTAGAAAGCACACTTTCAATTTTTTATGGCTATTCTTAGGTTAACAGACAAACATACTTAAGCTTATAAGATCTATAACTATTCAAGCTATTTTAATTATATTATATAAGTGTTTCATATGGTTGATATGCTAGCACTATCAGTTTATTCTCACTTTTTATAAATCTATTTGGTAATCTGGTATATGAAAGGTTTAATTGGTATTAACACTGAAGATATAGTTGATATGAAATTGCATCATTTTTTCATTAGCCTGAGAACATTGTAATAAATTGTAAGCAGTTTGTACCCTAAAATGTGAAAGTGATTATTCATTTTTGCTAAATTGTTTGATAATATTCAGACTAGGCTGTTTACTTAATTATTTGTGCATAAACATCTCTTCAACATGGTTTTCCTTACTATGATTAGGAGATCTTATTCCTGAAAATTTTAAGCTCAGGTTTGTTTAAGATTGAAATAAAGCTTTATTAAGTTAATGTATTAAAAATGTTAGTGTGGTGTAATTTTACAGCTCTTATTATCCTGGATGGTATATGACACTACACTTGAAAAGAAAAAAAGTGCATAAAAAATGTCAGTTTTATTATGAATTTTTCATGGTTTCATCTGAATACTGAAAATACTTGCCTGTGCCATTTTAGAAAATAGGTAACGTAAAAACACTTTCAAACTAATCAAATAAAATGATTTTTTTCATGATATATCATTAGATAAGCAACTAATGATGTATTCTGTATATAATTATAAAGTTTAAGATATATTGTTTTTGTCTCTTTTGTTAGTGTACCAACCTATGCCTGAATCTTTCTCACCAGAAAGAAAAGCAGCCCAGTTTCAGAGAATGATTGATCTACGAATAAACCCCATTGAAGGTTTAACATCAAACTATGATTATGAAAACAACAGATGGAAAGATTAATAGTTAATACTATAGCAACAGTCACACTAAAATGGTTATAAACAATGATATCATGATTCATTTACAGTTTGTGTCATTTTCAATTCTAGAACCATTATTTGATTTTACTGCAATTCTCTTTACAGGGAGTACTTATGAAGAAACATTGTTTAGATATTTTATTAACTTATAATTCTAGTTAAGTACATGTACGTGGATGTCAGAAATTAGAACTTTTTGTCACACATGATGAGAAATTTATTGATTGTTCATCTTTAGATACGTCATGTTTATTACACATTTACCCAGAAGTAGTACTATAGCACAAGCATACGTTGCAAAATTGCAATAAAGAAAGTTGTGGCTGTATGCAAGTATTTAGGTAATAAATCTAGAGACAATGGATCTTAAGCAATCTTTCCACTTATTAACCAGGAAGAAAGTTTCTAAATGTATGTATAAGGAGTTTTTCAAAATATTCATGGACCCGATAATGTTTTAAAAATTTCCTGTGTAATAAAACATCTATTAATCAGGAAGTGAATGATGTACTTTTGATATCATTTTTTAACACATTTAATCTTTTGGTAGTTCAGTGTATCTTCAAGTGCAAGCATGTATGATATTAATAAGTAAAAGGTAATGCTTTGTTTTAGGATAATTGTTATGTTTAGAAAAATGTTCCATCCAAAATGTTCGAAATACTCTTTGAGAGTTCTCTCAACTTTACACAAGTGTCAAGAGCTTGTGATAGTATTTTTTTTTACACGAACATTTAGGCATAAATTTTGTAGTAAGTTTAGTTCCTTAAAACAATTTTTGGCAGATCAGCAAGTGAATAACTTTTTTAGAATGTTTTGTTGAACATAGGGCACATCTATTTATATCTGTTAAAATAAGTAATTCTTCTGGCAGACTACTAAGAGAATAAGTGAGAGTATATTGTTGATTATTATGCTGTGGATGATATGAGAATGTACTCAGTTTAGACTTGGTCAATTGAAATGAAATTGAGCCTTATCCAGGAAAGTTGTTAAATCTGGGAGCAAAAACTGAAATACTTAAATTTAAAATGAAAAAAAAAAAAGAATGAAGTTTGGGTTTAATTAAATGTGGGAGCTTAAATGGAATGTTTAGAATCAAAATGAAAACTGAACAAGGTTTAGCTAAATCTAAGATTAAAGGTGGAACATGCGTTAATTAAAATGATATTGTTAAGATTAAACTGAGCTTGCTAGTTTGTATAAAAACATGGGAAGTTGACTAAATGATATTAATTTTTACCAAAAAATGAAGTAGCTCTGGTAGTAAGTACACCTGTTAAGATGACAGCAAGAAATAAATACTTTGACCTGAGGAAATGTCATCTGTGAAAGGAAACTAATAATACTGACAGATGAAAGTGAAAAATCCTTGAAGTGCACTTTTGGAAGCTTGTGAATTTCTAAACTAGTGAGCATGTGTACATTTAAATTAGTATACCTATATTTTATTTTGGAAAAATAAGTGTTTTGTGTTTCATTACATTTCAATTTAAAAATTTATTCCCTTCATGTTTCACACGTGGCACAGCAGTAATTCTGTAGGCTTATAATGCTAAAACCCACATTTTGATACCAGTGGTGGGCACATCACAGATTGCCCATTATGTAACTTGCGCGTAAGTACAAACAAACATACCTACAGTACTCCAGTAAAGGAAAATAGAAACAAGTTTGTAAGCAGAATTATGTTATACGTAAACGGAATTCCACTAATACAAGCAGTGATACATATTCAGTCATCATCTGAAAATGTGAAACATGTTCGAAGAACTATAGTATTTTGACACTTTGCAAAGAAGTTTGCAAGACAGAGGAGTAAACTAAAATAATTGATTTCTCAACTACATTTTTTGGTGAGATGTAAAAGAGAGAATCTTATTCCAAAGTTTATACAGGTAAAATGTAATAACAAAGGAAGAAAAGTAGACTATTTGTACAAAAAATGAAACAACAGATACTACACATCACGATTCAACAGAAAAGAAGTGTTATAGCCAAACAAGAAAATAAGGTGTATGAACTACATTTAGCAGCAGCAAAAGAAACTGATGATGAACGTTGGGTTGAATGGGAAAAATCTACTGGAATCGGACAAGGAAAGACACTGAGAAGTATAAGTATGAATTGGATCAGAAATACACTAAATTAAAAGACAAAAAGAAAGAAGATGAACAAATCAAATTGGATACATTACCTGAAGATTATCAAAGCATTTTGGAAAATCCTAAAATATTGAATAATTCAGATATGGTTCTTAATAACAACCAGTTGGATGTATTAAATAAAGGTCTGGGTTTTGCTTATAAACAATTAAGTATTAGAAATGAGGATTTAATAACGGACATATAGAAACAAATCTGGATAAAGTGATAACTGATAATTCTAAAAATATAATTAGAACTGAATGTTATAAACTTGTAAGTAATTTCAACCCAGTAGTGAAAAAACAAAATGTAGATAAAAAGCTGATAAAGGAGGGCAAATTGTTGTACTTAATAAATGTGACTACCTTAAAGGGGTAGAAGATATGTTAGACATATAAAAGTACATATAAAAAAGTTAAGAATAACCCCACTAATAAATATCATGAACTTGTGAAAACAAGTGTTAAAAACTGTTTAACTTTAACAGACGTAGAGAAGAAACAATTAATTCCAGTTAGGAGATTTTATGTACTTCCAAAAGTACGTAAAATTAATAACAGTTTTAGACCAATAGTATCAAATAGCTAAGAATATAGCCCAGAAGTATTCGTTTTTGAGAAATAAAAATTAATATACAGTTAAAAATGATTTAGAATTTGTAGAGAAAATAAAAAATGTAAACTTAAATAAGGAAGATTTGTTAGTATCATTTGATGTAGTATCCCTATTTACAAAAGTTCCATTAGAAGGTTCAAATAAATGTTTTGAAACAAAATTGTTAGAAAACAAAATTTCAGCAGTTGAAACTATAGATATAGTTAATTTAACTAAGGTATGTGTTACAAATCCATTTTTTCAAGTTAACAATAATTTCTATAAACAAAATGAAGAGATGTGGAAGAATGGTGCAGGACATGTAGTGCTAAAAGGGGACCCAAGCATAAGGGATGCCCACCATATGAAGAGTTGCCTGTGAATATGTCAGGGTTTGTGAAAGTGTTGGATGATATTCACCATCAAGTGCATTCAAACTTGAAAACGTCTGCTGATTCGATGAAGTTATCTTATGATAAGAGATCTACTGAAGTCAGGTTTGTACCTGGAGACAAGGTATGGGTGTATAATCCCAGAAAGACCAAAGGGAAGTCTCCTAAGTTGTCTTCTCCATGGGAAGGCCCATATGACATAATGGATCGTCTCTCAGACGTGACTTTCCGGATAAAATGTGGTCGGCGAGGTAAGCCAAAAATGGCGCATGCCAACAGGCTTTGGCGTTATCATGGTCCAGGACATTTCAGTTGGGACGAAGTGGAAAACAGAACAAATGACGCTGCTGAAGACGTGCCACATGAAGAAGCCACCGTCGAAGAAGAAACTCTACTCAGTTTTGAGAAGGGAAACGGTGAAGCTCTTGATGAAGCAGATGAATCTCACATGAAGCAGAAGCCAACGAGACGGAGACCAGTACGGAAGAAGATACGTCCCGTAAAATTAAGAGACTTTGTGAATTGTAATTTTGTGTTTGTAATTCTGTACAGTTAATTAAGTTATTGTTAATTGTTA